TTCTTGTGCGCCGTCGCAACGTCCTCGCGATCCAATTGCAAAGTCTCGAGAGATATTTATTTTCATATTTCATCGAGTTACACAGAGAAGCTCTTTGTGATACGATTGTAGGATAACGAAGAAAAGAGTCGAGTAAGGGATCTAGGGTGTACTTACTGATATAACTATCGCTCGGAACTTTCCGCGTAGTCAAAAGCAGCGCAGATTCTTTTCTGCTTTCAAGGCCTTTATGCGATGAGCTGTACTTTTTAGGCAAGGATTGCGCGACTTTGATGTATTCCTCTTTTTTTTTTGTTTTTTTACGTCGTTACTTCTCGAAATTGCCAAACTCGCCGAAGTGCCTGAACTTTATCCGAACTGTCGGGCCTGTTTTCATTTCGCATTCTTCTCATTCATTTGCGGTATCGCGAAGAATTACGATGACACCATGCGCAGTCTCCACCGTCGACTTGTTGGCAATAACGCGAAATTGATTACGCCTTTATCAACTTCGAGTCGATTGCGCTGCCAAGCTTTGATAATTTATTATTGACGATGTTGCAAACTTCCGCTATTGCAACGATATACGTAGATACGAGGTAGCAAGCTTGCTTTTTCGAAGAGAACGCACATAAAAACAAATAAAAGGAGAAAGAACTTTGACGAGTATCTCGAATTTTTACAACGTGACTGTTATTGCATTTTATATATGCGACGAGTTTTTTTCGCAAGCTTTTGTTCAAGATGTTTGAGATGAATGAAAATGATATCAATTTTAACATGAAATATAGATCATTCAATAAGTATAAATTATGAGAGAATTTTTATCCTAAAAATTAATTTATTTTATCTTTTTTTAATAAGAGTGTGTATTGTAATCTTATATAATAGAAGCGCGCGTATGGTGTTCTAGGTCGCGAAAGAGAAAAACGAAAAGAACAAAAACTCTGACGAGTATTCTGAATTTTTATAACGCTATTGTTATATTTTATAAGCTATTGTTATATTTTAAGACCTCATCATTAGCTCTTATTTAGAAATTACATATAATATAACATCGCCCTCTTCTCTTTCCAATTTATGACGACTTTCCCGATTTTCTTCTTCCACATTGCGTAAATGTGGTTGAATTCTACGTCGATATTCTACGATTTCCATTTTATCTCGGTAAATCTCTAGAAAATTATGACACTCGCAGTCCTCTCTTTATCCCTACGATCCCCTTGATCGTCACCCCGTCGTAGCCAAGAGAGGTCGCATAAATGTGCATACGAGGCACATAGCCTGGGAAATTCTTCGATTCGGAGCAATTCCATGGGAGGAAGTTCGCTCGTGCGGGACAAGTAGCTTTACGAGCGATCTAGTAGCTGTTTTATCACCTTCACTTATGTTGGTCGGTGTTTGCGAACTCGGCGTGGGCGAGAGGGGCTGTAAAGACTGTAAAGTGCGCAAAGTACACCGGCGTAAATTTTCGAAATTGGAGGTCTCGTTAATCGTCGGCGCGCCGCAATCACTCGTTAGATCTTAATTGAGAAGAAGAGGCGACCGCACGGTTAGGACGTAACGTAGTATTCTATATTTTACCGCACCCCCATCGATATAATCTGAATCCCCTGGCCGTCACGTGAATTTATAGGCAGTCGTTATGAGATCCGCATTAAATCCGGGGAAAAGTGAACTCGTTAACTCCTAATTCCTCTTTGACCTGACCCCGATTGTTTCGACGCGGCAAGTCGACCAGCCGGTCGCGGTATTTATTGCCTTCGATAAAAGTTGCGAGCTGTACGTATAGAGAGCCGTGGATAAATTACTAACATTACTAACGCGACTACCGCTGTTACAACATTATACGAGCAATGGAGACGCGAGGAATTCTCTCCTCCGACGATTTCAGACGTGACGCAGTGCGTGGCGCTTGCAATACTGCAAATGTCATCGGAAGATTACGTTCTAAAAGTAGTTTCATACATTTTCCTCAACATGCGGACCGTAAAGTACGATTGAACAATATCCTTGAAACGGAGAAAAAAGATTGGTTGAATTAACATAACAATGAACGAACAAACGTGAGCTTTCCGCCGAGGGGAAAGCGGAACTAGGAATCCTGTTTCCTTTAACTAAAACGCCATTCGGTTCGTTCACTGTCACGTTAATTCAACCGGTATTTTTCTCTCTTGCGTAAGCGAAAACGGAAGTTTGCGGAAGCGATCAATCTGGGTAGAAGTGTCGTAGACCTGAGTTGAAATTTTGATTCTACTTTCGACCTTCATCTGACGCTAATTTAATATTCTAAAGTCTACATCGATCTGTCTTGATTCTCTTTGATTTAACTTTGTCAAGAGGTTCTCTTAAGAATCTACAAATGACAAATTGTGTGTTTTCTGCTACTTAGAGCCGTTGAGTGGAATTTCAATTTCTGTCTAAATTTAAATCTCCGTTCTTCTTATAAATTTAATTCTCCATCCTTCTAAAGGGTGTCCCGAAATTCACGCAAGAAGTAATTTTGATAGAAAACACAGGTTTATAATTAAAAATTATAAATTTTTTATTCATTTATAAAGTATACAATATAGGGTTATGTATGGAATAGCATATCGGGTAAACGGCCACAGCGAAGAGAGTTCGTTGAATGGATTATGGAACAACGACAAGTGGATGCTGATTTTTCGAACAAAATCATCTTCAGCGATGAGGCTCATTTTCATCTGGATGGCTTGGTTAATCGACAAAATTGTCGCATTTGGGGTTCAGAAAATCCACGAGTGATTGTTGAGAAACAAATGCATCCACAACGTGTCATTGTTTGGTGCGGATTTTGGGCTGGAGGCATCATCGGACCATTCTTCTTCGAAAATGCGGCTAGTCAGGCAATAACAGTTAATGGTGCTCGCTATCGCGACATGATAATCCAGTTCTTTGTGCCTAAATTGCAAAATATGGATGTGGACGACATATGGTTTCAACAAGACGGTGCCACATGCGATACAGCCCGAGAAACAATTCAATTACTGCATAAGTCATTTCCTGGTCGTGTAATTTCCCGTTTTGGTGATCAGTTTTGGCTGCCCAGATCATGCGGTTTAACGCCGTTGGACTTTTTTCTTTGAGGTTTTTTGAAGTCTAAGATTTATGCCAACAAGCCCACGACCACCCACGCCTTGAAGGAGGAAATTGAGCGCTGTATCAACAAAATTCAGCCACATTTGTGCAACACGGTCATGGAAAATTTCAACAAAAGAGTGCATATGTGCCAGCAAAGCCGTGGAGGCCATTTACCCGATATGCTATTCCATACATAACCCTATACTGTATACTTTATGAATCAATAAAAAATTTACAATTTTTAATTATAAACCTGTGTTTTCTATCAAAATTACTTCTTACGTGAATTTTGGGACACCTTTCATATAAATTTAAATCTCTATTAGTCTCTATTGGTCTTTCAGAATTTATAGACGTTGAACAGATCAGATGGTCGAAGATAGGACCAAAAGTTCGACTCGGGGAGAGTTAATGTTAATACAATGGCGTCCTTGGCTAAAGTGTAAACTTGCTTCAAAAATTTATCCGTGCATTACAACGATTTTAATTCAATGCCCGACAACACGCATCTTTTATTTCTAAAACTAATAACTAGTACTAATAACCAGTACTAATAACTAGTAATAACATTCTTTATGTTACCCAGTAAATACCAACAGTAAACATCAACATTTATAATTACTTAATAATGTAACTGTTACGTGCAACATGTATTACATTGTATTTACATTGCTAAGTGATTAAGTTATATTGTAACATCGATGTAATGTCGTCGTTTGCTGATATTTACTGTATAGTACGGGTTGTACATATTTGGATAAATGATCATGAAATTTGCCCAATATTACTAACATTTTCAACGTCCATGGGCGAAAAAATCAGAAAAAGTGAGGAATTCCTGGTCGTACACACGGCTTTATTAATGCGCGAATATTAACTAGATCGAGAGTCACTAGACATTTCTGGCCAGACACATTCGTCTCTCCATACGCATTCATCATGACTGTTGATCATCTGAACTATACAATTTTCTTGCTAATTATGCATAACTTCAGAACGGATAAAAAACGTTACATTGCGCAAACTAAACCTCAAACTCAAACTATCACGGCTGCTTTGGAACATTAAAAACTCAATAATGTTTAAGTATCTGTTCGCAAGTATTCTGACGATTAAATGTTGCATATTTTCTAAAGTAAAGTATTCTGTGAAATGAAAATGGAGAACAATATTATCAAGATTTCTTACTGGAATATGAAATCCTAACAGCGTGCGAATATCAAATGAGTCAACAGACTACCATTGATTATAATATTATAAAGTCACTTATAGTAATAACCTATCTAATAGAAAATGTACGTGTCACAGAAAACGAAGTTGAACACATCCTCGTAAACGAACTAACGAGCGGTATAATAATTCAACGATTAAGACGCATTAAAGGAGATATCTACTATATTCCAAAATAAATCCAAGCATATTATAGGTTTCAGCAACTGTAGTCCTTATGCGAGCATTGAAAGTCAGGTCATGATAAATGCATTTGCGGAAACGAGTGCGTCTGGCGATGCGAAAATATTTAGTAACTCTTGATCTAGTAAATGTTTGGCCGTTAATGAAGCTGTGTGTACATTGCGCGCATCTTTACCGTCATACACGAACTCCATTACGAGCGTTTCGATGTTCACACGGTGTGAAGTGAAAAGCGGAACGGAAAACATTTAGTTGCGTCTTGCCTCCGAAGCCTTAACGAAACACTTGTTTTATTGCACAGGAATCGATGTACCTTTCGAAATTGCTTTCTCCCACTGGCTCTCTGTTTCTTTCTTTCTTCCTTTCTTTATTCCCTTTTCCTCTCTTTCTCTCCTTCTCTCTTCTCGCCTGTCTCTTCCGCTATGCCAGCCACGTACGCCGGCACTCGGCCGTAATTTCATGCCCAAACACAACTAACGTATGTCTCTCTTGTTTGGCTGTTTCAGATTACTAACACAACCGAACTCACGACACACTAACCAACTGCGTCTCCCGAGAACAAGCATTATGATCTCGTCCAGGACATCATGCCAGCGCCCTAAGTCCTGAATGAGAAAACGGTCTGTCGCGCCTTGCGCGATAAAGAACAGGTCGGGGGAACAGCGGCCGTATCGTTCGATGAATAAATTTTCGGGCTACTGAATAAACCCGTGGGGTCACCGCGGACTAAAGCCGCGGATATATCTCATCGTGAGAATTGATTTGAATCTTTTATTCCTGAAGGGAATAGGGCCCGTCCCGTCGCGTCTACCAAGTATTTGAGCGCGCGCGCGCGTGTTCTCGGGCTTGGATGGGCACTCGACACACAGAATTTTCGGACGGAATCTCCCTTCGAGCGTATTTGTTTAACCCCCGCGCGAGTTCCCTCTGAGATCGCGCGCGTAATACACCCGCCCGAGCGCCCAGCGCACGACGTTGTCACGATAGAGTGTCGGGCGTTTCGCGTGCGACGATCAGTATTCCACTTTCGTGTTTGTCGAACGACAGCGAGGAGAGGTGCTCGGGTGGTCTTTGCGTGCGAAACGCTCCGGGGAGCCCTCCTCGCCGCGAGTAGCGAAGAGGAATGCGCGTGAAAAGCATCGCCGGCGAGAACGTCGAGGAAAAGGGTGCGAGTTCCGTTCTAAATCGCTATCCTTGTAAATTCGGAGAGCATTCGTCTCTCTCGTGCATTGCGCGGCTGCGGGTGTATCCGGCCGGAAAGTCCGTTTCTGGCGCGGCGGTAGACGGAATACGAAAAGCGCGGGGAAAGCAAGAAAATTCGCTGACACCGTGCGCCCGCAAGCTCTGCGTCCGCCGCGAAAAATCGATGGTATAGCGGACGGACGAACGGGAAAAGAAAAACAAATCTCCTGTACAATATGTCGGTCGCCGAGCCAATAATTATCCGCCGAGAGTACCGCGGTGGCCGAGATTTGTTTACCGTCCGACACAACTTCCACGTGTCTTCCCAGTGAAATCTCTCGAGCAGTGCGTATCTCGACACGACTTTATAACATTTTTTATGACGTATGTGACAATACGCACTGGAGAAATATTGTGCCAATAGATATTGTTTAGATATTACGTAACATAATAGAATCGATCGACAGCGCCATAATTGGAATGAATCTTCTTGATTCGACAGCGACATTGTAAAAAGATGTATCGTACGTTGTTTTCACTGTGACGGTAGTATTTATTTTACATGCTTGAATAACATCGTGCATCTAGTGGAAATATATTATGACAGAGTTATTATTATAAAAATGTGTCATATAATGAAATATTGATTTAAACATTATTAAATCACACTCATTGCAAGTTGTAATCATTATTCTCTTTTTTGCTTTACCTTTCAACGTGTTTTTCATATAAAATTTTGTGTGGGGAAATCACACCAGTATTTCGCGGAGGGCGCTTGTTTGGTGTTTTCTCTGTCGGGGTTAATTGAAATCAAAAGTATTAATTTCGATAACGTTGCTGCTGAGTCCAGAAGATTCGCTTTCCAATTTGATTGATGTCACGGCTGATGTTTTTCTCTTTCACGTAAGACTGCGTGGTAAAATTAAAACGAGGTCTGTATATATCGTGCGGCGTTTTATAGTTCGCCCGGGAGCGCAAGGACGTACTTAACGCGCGCGAAAAAGCCGCGGTAGAGAAGGGCGAGGTTAAAAGCGATGTCGATAAAACGGGGTGGCCGAAAGAAGGGCGGTGTTGCGCGCGAGTCAGGGTGACAACCCCACGAAATGCCTTGCAGAATCCCACGAGGAAGCCTGCGGCGACTTCGACGGCGTAAACGAGCGAGGCCCTCGGCGCGAGGAAAGGGCTCCGCGGGAAGAGGGCCGCGCGAACGTATCTCTGGGTCCGTCGTGGTGTTGTCCGCCGGGGGTGGCGGTAGCGGAGGGGGTGGAGGAGTTTGCAAGCGCCGTGATTTGGAACGTCGGACGGGTGGCGGTCGCAGTGTTCCCTGTGTTCCCACCATCAGCTCTTCTGTCGCAGGAACCGCGGGGGGTTGTGGCCCCGTGGTGGGACTCTCCTCCTATAAAAAGCGCCAAGGTATTCGGTCGAAAGCGATCGGAGAATGTCGAGTCGAATGCCAGGTGAACGTGAAGATAGCGACGCGTTGCAACGACTGAAATATATCCCGTGTCTCGAATTTGCGGAGTACCGTGCATCAATTCAGCGTCTTGAGACTCCGATATTTTTGAGAACACGCAATTGAGAACATTAAAATGAGAGAAAAGTCTAATGAAATTGTGACGTAGAAAATTTTCAAGCGAAAAAAATTATTGGAGAAACTGAAATCGAAAAAATGATAAGATCGGAATTGGAAGAAAGAAATGGAATTGAAAATGAGGGTCTTCCTTGTGGTGACAACGTTGTTCATATTGTTGTTAATACTCAAGTGGTATGACTTATAGTTTTCAATCAGGCTCGGGAGTTCGTTTAAGCTGCGTTAATCTTTTAATGCAGATATCAGGTTATCGCTTGGAAGAAGATTTCATACCGCGGAATAAGCTGTTTAATGTTAACGACCAGATGATACGAGAGATTGCGCCGTGACAATCAGTCGTGATAATCCTGCGGGTCGTGTGTATCACTCGGACGCGCATAAAAATGTCGTCGTAAATGACGTGTAATTTTTTCTAAATTTCATGCCCCGAGAACTCGGACACACTTTCGTTCATTTCCCAATTAATTAATTATGCATGCACGCGGAATATCACGAATATACTCGCGTTAAATATTTAGGGACTACAGCTTCTTTTCGTACGTCCACGGGGAGAATATATTACCGCGCGACGAGTTCCCTTCATCATTTCGCATACCATAAACTTTTCTCATATGTGGAAGTCGTAACTCAATTTAGAAGTGAACGACCCCAATTATGAGCTCGTATGCATCACTAAATAATCGAGCGACTCATAGGCGCCTCGTTCGAGGTGAGCCTGTAAATTGCAAATCTACATCTCCTAAAAGCACAAAATCTCGAAATCGCAACGATTGTACGGCAATCTCACTTATCAGCCTCCGACGAGTTCGAGACACTCCGCCGTCGCGAGTCGATAAAAACACGTCGGAGACTGGCATTTGCCTTGGAAAGGACGAAAAAGATATTCATTCTGCGAATTCAAAACATCGAAATTTCACACGTCGTCAACCATCTCGAAGGCAGTGGCACCGTCTGGGGTCGCGGCAGCCGTGGACGCGGCAAGGGTCGCGGGGGCGGCGCGAACCTCTTGGGTTCCGGCGTCGCCCCCGCGAATTACGCACCAGGACTGCAGGGCGTTGCGCCTGGGCTGCGGGAAGTCGTGAACATCCTCGGCAAGAGGAATCAAGCTGGCACCCTGACGGGCGTAGGCCCGCCGCCGGGAACGCTGGATAACGAGAGTGCGGGCGACGAGGAGGAGGGGACTTCCACTAAGAGACCGCCGAGGCCTCTCTACAGGAGATTAATCAACTACGTGAGACAAGCTTGGACCGGCGTCAAGTTCGCTTTAGGTATATTTCCCAGATTTATTGATTACGAAGGCGAGATCTCGTCGCGTGAGAACGTGCCTCCTCGGGCACTCTCGTAGCGGGTAGAAGAGGGCGTATAATCGAGGAGATCACTCCGGAAGAAACGTAGGACTCTCTTTGTTTTTACTTGAATCCTTCTTCTTCTTTAATCTAAAACTTGCAATACTTTTTCTTTTATTTATTTTGGCAATAACTCTAATGCTCGTAAGTGAGCTTAGCTCTAGAGTAATAATCTTAACGATTTATCTATTTATCTATCTCTTTATCTATTTTTATTTATTTTATCTATTTTTATTTATTTTTTTGTCTCTATAATAGTTTGTTGGGATGTGCAATGAAAGGTCAATAATATCCACGAATGATCCCATTCCTCACTCGCGCGCAGTCATACTTTAATTCCATGGGCGATCATTTTACCTCCACCATATTCTTCTTGTCGATGTTCTCAAATATACCGAGTTGTTTACTTTGAATATGAGAGACGTCGGTCTTATTAAAATTATTTTCCTCTTATTCTACCTAAAATTGCAGATCACCTGAAGTATTCTCTTATGTACTCCTCGTTTTCTACATTATGAAAAGATTCGACCGTCCAAACAATTAAGAAAGTGGACAAAAATACGTGTGACATAAGTCAGGACGCACATCACCCTTCCTAATTTTTTGCCCTCGGACATTAAAAATGTCATCGTTACTGAACAAATTTCATAATCGTCCGCAATAGTTTATCCAAGTATATATGATAATATAATGTTATTATTAGCACTAAAGATGACACGTGAGTTCGTTTTTATAATAATAACATTTAATCGTTTTTATATCAATTATTATAATAAGTATATTTTAACTATTAAAATAACAAAACCATTAAGCTTCGTTTAGACATTAGAGATTAACGACAGCTATATTCTAGCTATAGCTACTTGCCGCTAGATAGACGGAACTTTCCGATTTACCTAATATATATTTATGTATGAGTACTGCCATATAAAACCATATCAGTCGCGGCATCTTTGAGAAAGCTATCAAAACTTTTGCACTCACTCGATATATCGAGGAATCCTTCGCGCGTGACATTCTATCCGGAATAGTCACTTCGGCAGATTTCCGTTTTTGTTCAGCTGCGGCTGATCCTTCCCAGTCTCGAAAGTTTAGGCCAATTTCATTGCCTATACCGATCTACCCGCTTATCCGTCTCTCTGTCTCTCGAGTCTGCTGCGAGCTTTAAATGGCCTTTAGAGAAACAAAGTTGGAGAAAAGGCGAAACGCGCCAGCGTTGGAACTCGATGTCCCGCGTTACTCGCGCACGTCCTTTCCTCGAGTAAGCTTGAATAATGTAGCCCGCGAGGGGGTAATTAAAAGTACGACTTATGGCTTCGTTAAGCGCCCCGGCTACTTAAACCTCTTTATGCTCCATATTCGCGCCAATGATAGCGCGTGTTACGGGCTAATTAACCGCATATTAACGTGCGCCGCGCGAGATGAAACTGCGAAGCAAACAACAGCAGCAGCAACAATCTACCTGTGCACACGCGCGCGAGCGGAAATATCAGGAACGCGCGAGGAGCGAGACCGTTTCTTCGTGCGATTTATTCAAGAACCGAGAAACAGTGTTGGTACGTTTGATCGAACCGGAATATTCGATGCGCCGACGTCACACCACAGTGTCTTACGTGCGCACCACTTTCCATCGGAGGGCCAATGAAAGCGTGACTAGCTCCCTTGTTCGGGAAACATGACGGCCTGCGGGCTCTTCTTGCCGGTTGAACCAACGCTGCACGCTGCTCACGTATCTCGCGGAGTATCAATGTTGCATGCTGCTCACTCACTTCCTCACCTGTAGCGATGCTCGCTTGTCTTCCACGCACGCAGCTCATTACCCCACGTCGCCCTTTTTGCGATCGAGCCCGCGCGGATGCGCCGCTCTTGATACTCTCTTGAAACCAAATCAAGACCACTCGACATTCTCTCGTTGAGACGAGAATGTCTCGAATTTTCTCTTGTCGAGAAAAATATTTATTATAATATTTATAATAAATTTATAATGAAATATTTTTCGTATCGTTGGTATACAGGGTGTTGCAGGACGGCTGGGCTATCTCTCTATACATAGTTTATTCTTCTCATCAAGACAACATTTCCGTACGTAGTTTCCACGAACACAGCGTGTCCAAAACATTTAGCCAAAATGTATATGTCGACTCGAGATTAAAGGAATTAATTTCGACTCTAATTCGAGTAACTCGATGAGCATTCTACTTTCCGAGTGAAATTTCACTCCAAGAGATTCCGAGAGTGTCTCTTCTTATCTCTAGACGTTCGTGCGTGTAAAAATAACATACATGAATTGAACTGAGTCTAACAAATAATAAATAATGATTAATAATAATCACCTAAGAAAATATCTGAAAACCGCATTATATTTATATATACGTATGAGCCGCGTTTTCTCATGAGATACATGCAGACCAGATGTAAAGGACAGCTGTATTCCCCTTTCACAAGCGTGCATTCTTCTTCGATAGGAGTGAAGCTAGACAAAGACCGAATGTCTGCGGCACAGGCCATCCTTTCCGGACGCAATCTTCGCAGGTCTTTTGTGCAGCATTCGGTCTACGTACGCAAGTCTATGATGAGAACCGTTGTGCAAACGAGTGAGCACACTGCAAATCCGAATGTGCTTTTCTCACACGCTGAGCGTATAATTGGCTGAAGCCTTTCCTCCCACGTTCCGCGTCATCTTAAATCACGTCATTCGGTACGTTCAAGCGTCATTTAACGCGCGTTTTTAAATGCCGTAATTTAAGACGTCGAGAAACGCGCAACGAAAGCCGCAGCCAATTACACGCTTATGCGTGTCAGAATAACATACTCGGCAGTTTGCAGTTTGCGCGCGAGTCGAGAACGCCCCAAGATAGCGTAACTTTCCCTTAACCGCAAATCGGTACACCCTCTGGTCTGAATTGGACCGGCGCAGCCTCGGCTGGGATGTTCTGTGTCGGCGGATACTTCACCGCAATTACTGAAGATTTAGTACGAGTTTCAGCTCAACTTTCAAATATCGATTGTTCGAGCGCCGCACGCGAGAATAAATCTCCCTGCTGCTGTAATCTATTCTTAACGCATGCACGGTTTCCGCACGGTGATCCGCGGCTCCCATTAATGTTCCGAAAATAAAGTGCGCGCGGGCCAGGATGTATAATGCATCGGGACTTTATGCAACGTGCATAGTTATGTCGCGCGGAATCGCTTGTTATGCGCATAAACCGGCGGGAACTCGTAATTTATACGCGGATAGTTAACCGTCAGCCGTCGCGAGTGCGTTACACCGTGAGAATCCCGATTCGACACGCATGACGTAGGCGAGTGGGCGAGCTTTTCGCCTTTTCGATCCGCACGTATCGATCCTGCCATTTGCTCGAGAGCGTGTCGCCGTCGGTAACTCAAGGAGGTGGACATAGGATCATGGGATCGAGGAGGGCGCGCACAGGACGGAAGGAACCCTGGCCGACCCAGTTAATTCCTCGCCGCTCGAATTGATTTCTCAAATATTTACACGGCATACCATTACTATTACCGGCCGGCGGCCATTGTTTCGCGCGTGTTCCACCGTCGCCGAAGGTATTCCTTTCATTACGCGTTGCCCCGGGGACACGTGGCTACACCGCGCGGCCACGCAACCCGACGTGTAGCCCGCCGGCGCGGCGCCTGAGGTCTCGAGGTCGTGAGAACGCGTTTCATGAAAATTCATACAGTCCAGATGTGGTTTCGTCCGTAAATTACATTTTCACAAACGAATTTATGAGGGAAATATCTGGAACCAACGTCCTCATCCGTCCGGCGTATCCAGCGCGAAGGACGGCGAAATATCGCAAAGCGCACCCTTGTGTCTGTTGTATGCTCATACACTTCTTCCCTTGGTCAGGCTTCATGGTTCCGTCACAAGTCCAACTGTAACCCGACCATTGTCACGGGACATTAGGCGGGTTTGTACGTTAATTGCAGGATCGTCGATGTTATCTGATTAAAAGTAAATAGCAGGCACTGGTGTCTGCTTTTATTATTGACCCTCTCGATATGTATAAATTATATATTTCGTAATTATGTATAATTAAGAAATGTATAATACTCCATAATTATGTATAATTATGTAAGATATGATTATAATATTCAATCATATGCATCTAATTGCATATAATTATAAGCATAAATTATGTATAAATCATATAATAACCCATATAATAATGATCCATAAATATATCCATAAATATCCATAAAATAAATAAATCATATAATAACCCATATAATAATGATCCATACGTAAATTTTGTCTCTATGAAATTATGCATGTCAACTGGAAGTAAACGCTGTTAAATGAAGGAAAGAAGAGATTGTTTTGCTCAATTATCTGCATTACGGGCTACTACAAAATAGTTATCTTAATTTATTAATTAATTATTTTATTTGTATAAAATCATGTTTTTTTCAATGGGGATATATATAACTATGTATGTTTATATGTTTGGCCATATAGAAGCAAAATTTATATATAATTACGTACAATTATTTTATGCCGGTCCTGCGCATCGGCTTTTCACAAAACACAAAATCAGTGCTTTTTCAAAGATCATAAATGTTATCGTGAGCGAGACGTTTAACATAGGAGCCAAAATTTATGCCAGAAACAAACCATGATGTATCATATTCTCTGTGAGACAAATATTCTTTTTCTTTTCTTTTTCTTTGCTCGTTCGCCCATTTTTCCTTTTCCTTTTCTAAAGAATGCCGTCGATCGGTTGTTGTGTATACCCTTGAAGAAAAGCACACAATTGTAATAAAAATATTGAATTTATTCTTGCTTCTAATACCTGACCATTCATATCGTACGAGGTGTGAGTATTGAATATGAAAATCCGAAATGGGCATTCGGAGCATTGAAAAACAATAAGGATCACAGTGAGGTCAATGGTGAGGAAAGCAAT